CAATTTAGCTACGTTTCTGCCAAAGCGTAGTGCAGCAACCCTCAATGTACAATTTTAAGGGGATTTGCTAACGTGACCGTTTTTAAAGTGTCCAATTTTTTAAGGGGCTTGCGTGCTCTTCGTGTGAATATATTATTGTGAATAATAAATGGTTATCATATTAATGCATATTAGACCGCAGGGTGAAACAAATAGAGTGTTCTTCGATACTTGTCCACCACATGTCAACAATGCTATATAACATAATATTTTGTTTTTTTCTTTGTCTTTTACAATTGTATTGCCTATCTATTTACTTGAAAACTACTTTCTTATATTTTGAATTTATTTATTTGAGTTCAATAAAATTTAAATTTAAAATTGTTAATATTCAAAATATTATATTCTAGAACGTTAAAAAGATTAAGAATTCATATTCAAAAAGGTGAAATAATCGTTATACGAGTACTCAATGTAATAAATTTAAATATGTTTACATAAGTCTTATCTAATTATCACGAATTATGGTAGTCAGTAAATTTGCATAATATAAGTATAGGTACATATATCCCACCTTATACTCAAGCACCCAACCTACCACCGGAACTAAGACATCTTATTGCTGAAAAACGCAGAGCCAGATCAAAATGGCAACAAACTCACTACCCTGTTGATAAGACAAAATATAATTTTATTTCCAATAAACTTAAGGCCCTACTAAAAACATATTAAGCCAATCTCTACAAAAACCACCTACAAAACCTGTCTTTTACAAATGGATCTCTCTGGCGCAAGACAAAGTCATTACTACGAATTAAGGACTCCCCTCCTCCTCTCCGCCGAGCGGACAACTCACTTGCTTCTACAGACAAAGAAAAAGCAGATATCCTCGCTGAAGAATTATCTGGCGTTTTCAAACCACATATCATTCCTACACCTGCACCACACATGTCGATAGTCATGGAGTCTCTTCAGTCAACTATACCTATGGCCCTACCTACAAAACCTACTTCCCCAGCGGAACTAGCGGGTATTATAAAAAAACTGGCAAACAACAAATCGCCAGGTCATGACCTCATCTCTAATAAAGTCGTCAAAAATCTACCTCTGAAAGCGATCGTTCATCTTACTCATATTTATAATGCTGCCCTTCGGTTATCTTATTTCCCAACCACCTGGAAAGCATCTGTTATTGTTACTGTTCTCAAACCTCAAAAGCCTCCCGAAAACCCCTCCTCGTACAGGCCCATCAGCTTGCTACCAGTCCTGGGCAAAATCCTGGAAAAAATCATTCTCAAGCGTATCACCACCATAGCACAATCCAAAAACAGCATTCCAAACTTCCAGTTTGGCTTTCGTGCTCACCATTCCACAACTCATCAACTTCACAGGGTTGCGGACACTATCTCCGCTGCACTTGAAACCAAAAAATATTGCGCCGGCGTCTTTCTGGACGTTGCGAAAGCATTTGATACCGTCTGGCACGACGGTCTCCTTTTCAAACTAAAAAATATATTTCCAGCCCCTTTATACCTAATACTTAAATCTTATCTTTCCAACCGCTCTTTTAATGTTCGCCATAACTTACAACACTCAAAACAATATCCCATATTTGCTGGAGTCCCTCAAGGCAGCGATATTGCTCCTTTCTTATACACCATATATACGTCTGACCTGCCTACATCCGAAAATACTTTGGTTGGAACATATGCTGATGATACTGCCCTATTATCAGTCTCTTATGACCATACTACTGCATCTCATCAACTACAAGCTCACTTAAATTCTCTCTCACAGTGGTTCACCAACTGGAAAATCAAAATTAATGAATCCAAGTCCTCTTTTGTGACTTTCTCACTCAGACCTCTAAACTGCCCAGCTGTATCAATCAACAACATCATCATTCCTCACTCAACAGAAGTAAAGTATCTTGGTCTTATCTTTGACAGACGCCTTACTTGGTCCTTCCATCTTGATGACAAGCGTAAGAAACTGAACTCCAGACTTCACCTGCTAAGGCCACTGCTTCGTTCGAACCTTACCTTACCTATAAAAATCATTCTCTATAAAACCCTTCTTCAACCAATATGGACATACGGTATAGTAATCTGGGGTTCCGCCAAGAACTCGAACAAGAGAACTATACAAGCTTTTCAAAACATCACTCTTCGTTTAATCACAGGCGCACCCTGGTTCGTTTCCAACGCGACCCTTAACTTCGACCTCAAACTACCTTCCATCGACAATACAGCTGCTACCTACTACAAACGCTTCCACGCTAAACTTCAAGATATTCCCAACCAACTAATCAATGAGCTAGCTTCACTAACACTTCCAGGTAACCCAACCAGACGCCTCAAGAGGAAATGGTGCCGTGATTTGAAAACTTAAGTTAAAACTTATAATTCTAAGAGGTGTCACAAATGTGTGATTTCCTCCTCATGTTATTTCTCTGTCAACTGTGTAAATATTATTAATATTACTTATTGTACAAAAATGTATAGATTGTAATTCTCCAAATAAAGTCAATTATTTAAAAAAAAAAAAAAAGTACATATTTTTCAGTATACAACTCAGATGGGATTGAATTCCCTAAAAAAGTGACATGTTATTCAATATTATTATATAGTTTTGCCTTATGCTTGTCCAGTTAACTTAGAGTTTTCAAACCCAAAATCACGATTTGTGTCAAATCAGATATTTTTTCTTCTATTTAGTTGTCGAACAAATATGCAAAATACTTTATCAACATTATATTATTGTCATCTTGTTTTCTTCATTGTACATACGAACCTTTTAAGTATGAATGTTATTTTTAATTTTTTTTTAAATTTTCTCAGTTTCCTATTTTCCTGGAATAACTAATCACAATAAATTGAATTATCAAGTGATATTCTTTTATGAAGTCGATCACTGGATGTTTGCATATTTTACTATATTATTTCCCAATGATTTTCCAACGTTTTGAATTTATAATGATACTATTTTTTTTCATAGATTTCAGAATGTTGTGTTTAATATACATAGCAAATTATTATATTATATTACACTAAAAATAAATTGTTTCTAACTAATTTTCAAATCCATGCACTTTTAAAATCATAATAATGTATTTAAAAACGCTAATTGTGAGAATGACGAAACAGTTTTTTGTGTACATTATATTTTGTTTTGGTACTAAAATATAAAATATAATTTAATAAAATACATTGATAAGGTATATATTATTATAATAATTATTATTCGTAAGTCAAAAGCCTTTATAACATTTAAAACACATGCTTACAGAAGACACATAAACAAAATACTTTCAAACGTAATCGATTTTAATCCAATTCATTAATTTTATTTTAGTATTTGATACTTGGATAATCAACAATCTTAAGAATTGGAAGTTGGTAATAAATATTTACATCGTTAATTTAGCTTAATCTATGATCTAGTAGAGGCTTATAGCATTTGATGACATAATAATTATGATTGCGTAATAAATGTTCGTCATTATGACATGTACTTAGTAATTTGTAAATATAACTAACTATATTTAGTATTATTATTTTTTTTTTCTTGATTGGATTTCAAACGTAGTAAATAGGTTTTTTGTCTGGATGTTGACTGTGAATTTAACGATCACCTAAAAATGGTTTAACCTAAGTCTTCGTCCTTACATTACACCAAATATCAATACCCAATAAAAACGCCGTATCAGTATGAGATCTAATGATGTTTAATCTAGATTATTTCCTTGTATAATGGCCCTTGTATAAAATATATATTTTTTTTTTTGATAAGTTTCATAGCTAGGTATTTGTCATATAATAGATAACCTTTATTAATTATTTATGAGATTTATTTCTAAACGCATAGTTTAGTGAAATGTGCATGTCTGTTTTAAAATCCAAGGCACTTTTGTTTATCATAAAATAATTGAATATTCACTATCCATGATAGAAAATGTACAGTGTTATTAAAATGTATAGCCACTCCAATGCATCATTGTAAATATTACATTATGAATGTGTTAAACTAAAATAGTTTAAAATATTTTATATTTAACTACTTTTCCCTTAATATATTTCTTGTAATTTGCTCTTCTAAGGTGAAACGATAGATTATACGATAGTCAATACCAAACATTTTTATATTTTTAGGAGTTTATTAGCGTGTGAGTCTTTTGAATGTGTGCATAATATAGTAATAGTTAAAAAAATTGTGTGTAAAAACAGGGTGTGCGTATAAGAGTTATGTCTATATGACCAATCTGTATAAGTATAAAAGTAATATTTACAGCAAAACCATTTATTTGCTGTCACCAATAAAACTAGTTCTGCGATATTATGTAATCTGAAATAAAAATTTAATTTTTTATAAAGTTTGTTTATTTCATATACTTTTATGATTTTTTTTTTCAATTCTGTAAGATCACTGTTAAAATGCATACATTTTTAAATTTAAAAATCAAATTTAAGGGGAAGGATTGAAATTGCTTTAGCATTCGTAGATAATTTATGAACTACCTAGTTATTTCATAAGATAACGGAATTCAACACTTTAGGTGTAACATATACACATATAACATGTTGCATATTTTGTAAATTTTAATTAAAACTATTAATTTGTTTTAAATTTTTTGTCAGATACTTTCATTTAGTGTCACTGAAAAGTCAAAGTATAGATAATTATTGATTTCATGACGAATTCACAATATTAATAATTATTGATTAAAACCTATATGGTTAAGCTTTTAATGATAAAATACTGGTGTATATATTTAATGCTTTTTTATAATTTAAAAAAACATGTTTTAATTTACGACCGTCAATAATTCATTGAAAATAACATTAACAACTTATTATGGTAATAATATTGATTTAGATACCAACTACTAGTCTACTAAACTCAATTTTTTAACCGCTCGAGAAAATAATTGTTGTTCTCAAGCTCATTTATACATAAATAATAAAGAATCACTATTAATTTGTAGCCACCTAGAAAAAATATCAATAAAAAAATAAAAAAAGTAAAATAAAAAAAAATCTTCAATTTATTAAATATATCGAGAACTGTTAGGTATTGGTTAACATTTTACTGAAAAACATAATACTCTTTGATTCAGAAGGAAAATGAGGTGTGCCTGTGGTATAATTATTATAAGGTATTATTAATAGTGTCCGTGTCCATGTCCGTAGCCGTTTCCGTAACCATTTCCGTAGCCATTTCCATAGCCATGTCCATAACCCTGATTGCCACCATAGTATCCACCATGATTTCCGTATCCACTATTGTAACCGTACCCATTATTGTATCCATGACCACCATACCCTTGTTGTCCGTAGCCACTGTAACCTGGAAAATAAAAATAATTTGTTGAATATGGATATCGTTATACGGTCATTTTTAAAGTTTGTCTTACCTCCAGTGAATCCAACTCCAACACCTACTCCATAGCCGCTTCCATAACTATCGTAACCTCCTCTGTGACCTCCATAGCCTCCGTATCCACCGCCATAACCACCACCGAAACCACTGCTATACCCGATAAATCCAATAGGTGTAGCTGTTGCGAGGGCTAGAGTAGCTGCCAAAAATACACACTGAAACATACAAAATAATATTTATGATTTCACATAATATACTGCACGAGTTTTGAAATTTTATAAGAATATACGCTACGAATAATATATTGATAGCAGCTAAATAACTAAAAAAAATTTTATAATAATTCCTGTTTTTACAATTTTCTTTTAAACAATTTTTTTTATATAATATTTAATCAAATATCTTTATGAAATGTAATAAAATATAATGAATTGAAGATAAAGGTGTGGTAGGACAATACATTATTTGTGAACGAAACAATATTTAACGCAACAATAATCAACAGTACTTATTTAGAATCCCCGTTCTGAAATCATACCTGGAATGAATATTGTAATGAAACACGATGAGCGTTGTAAGTCGCTACTCACACGGCTATAGCTTTTTTTAAATACCGAAGCTCAGAAAAATAGAGCAATGAAGTTTCTGTCTGGATTGAGAAAATATAAGACAAACATAATATTATACCGATCAAGCAGCGAAATAGGTAGCTTAATTTTTTGGTGTTTGATTCTGGCTTAAGAAATATTTTACCCCTAATATTGTATTTTCATTCGGCCGTAAGTGCCTAAATATAACATAATACATGGTATGGATGAATTTCCAGTTCACCGACCCTCAATCCGTCGACTGCCTGTATTTAAGTAATTTTATACAAACTAATAAAATTATTTATTTATATTTTATACACATACAAAATATCTGATATAATAAAATAAATATAATGAAATGTAGTAATACGATGATGGGGGTTAAACATAACTATATAGATACTAAATAGGGAAGTTAAAATTGTTGTCACCACGATTATCCACGTATTTATACTTTATAGCTTATAGTATTCAAGCTTTTCCTTCACCTTTTTTGACTATTATAATTTTTCACTTCAAGTAAATCCTGATTTTTAAAACTTAATTTTACATCAATCCATAACAGTGGGAAAAAATGTAATGCATAAGTTATGTGTTCGTGACAGTACCTAGTGCCTAAGTCCTCTGATTCGATCAGTCAAATATTACTACAAACAATAAATCATAAATTTCATTTAAAAACCTCAATGGACTTTTCAGTTATTTATTCATTTATATTTAGAGGTAGGTTCATACATTTTGACAGTAGGTATTATAATAATTGTATTTCTACTCCAAAAATCTCGTAGAAATCTTGTAGAAATTGGGAATTTTTTAGGAACCATTAAAAACACGTTATTTGGTCAAAAAACTTAATATTAACTGATTGGGTTTTGACGGAATGGACATAAACCATAGTAATATGTACCCATACCAAATTTAATTCTGGATTGAATCTGACTGGTAAGTGGTAACAAGATAATTGTAAAAAACTCAATGTATAAGTATAACATAGTTATTCGAGTACACTTATCAAATTATGACATTTAAAAAAATGTATTTGCGGGTCTGATGAATGATAATAGTGGTCCTATGAACACGATGGATCGATTTGGTAGGTTTTGGGGAGGTGCGTAAAAATAATAATTCATAAAAATACGTACCAAGACGAGTTTGCAGGAGCTCATGTTTGTTTCTTTCGTCCTCAGAACGGTTATTATAACAATAATTATTACTGACTGCAGCGGACTACTATTTCTTGGTTCTTCGGGCGATTTCCAGAGACGTCTGATTCCGTATCATCGGACACTCGGCGTTTTATTTAGTGCTAAATCCGCTGTGTAGCGTGCAAGTTTTTTTTATTTTTTGGTTTCTGCCGCGCTCTTGGTTATTCGTCCGGGACGTTGGCACCGGTTTGGCCTTGCAATTTCGACCACGGTATGAAAAACCAGTTTTCCTCGTTTTAATTTTTTTGCACGCACAGATGTACATTATATTATCTTCACATAGGTACCCTTTTACTGAAGCCCGAACAGCGTTCCGACGAATAAATTTCAAGATTTATGCGTAAGATTATATGGTGGATAATAATATAATATGCTAATATAGTAATGTATATGATATCATTATAAACCCATGTAGTAATAGTATAATATCGTGTTCGGATTTTCGCTCGATACCCATAATTTGCAAAGAGACGACGAGTATATTCATTATTAAAAAAGCTGCATATATTAAACGTTAATCAACAAATATACGTTTAAAAAAAAAATAGTAAATATATTAACTATTTTATATTTGAGTATGTTATAAGTTTGTTTATGCTGAGTGGTAATAAAATACAATATTCAGACACATATAGTACCTATGGATTTTGAATTTTTTTTTCCGTTTTGCGAAACACCACCAACTATGTCAAATGACTCATTTAATGGCAGTATGAAAATATACAGAGTGTTTAATTATGTAGGTCTCACCATCCTCAACATTAAAACGAGCTATTGTTGTTTGATTAATCAACACAAACATTAGTGATCTATATTTACGTAAAATAACTTTATGAACAATTTGTATCTGAAATATGTATAAGAATTACGAAATTAACAAATACAGTGGTCACCACTTACACTTTGGTGCTTGACCAAACTAATAACATATAAGCTGATTTATAACAATAAACTAGAGTATAAAAAATAATAAAACATATGTTGAATCAATAAACATAATGTAAGTTGCATCTAATTTAATACACACATATTATTATTTAATAATTATAATTGTTTATAGTTTATTATTTAAATTTTTTTATTTTGAGTGAATAGGTAGGATAACAAAAAAACATATACTTTGTAATGATGTTGGATCTCTTGAATTATTGTAGTACCTACCTAGGAATTCATTTCCCAAAATATCTCGTTTTAAAAATATTACACAGAAGAACAATTATTGAAGGGAAAAAACACGATAAAACATTACGTATAATACAGAGAATTACTCACTATTATACTATATATAATATTAAGTATATGCGTAATCGTTTTTTTCTCGTCATATACCAACTCGCTGACTACTAAATATGTTTGTGTCGCATATTTTATTTCTTAATGTTCTTAACTTTTTGCTACATCGCCTATAAAATTATAGTTTATAACATTATTTATCTAAAATACATTTTCTTAGCAATTATGGTCTAACGAGAACGCTAAAATTTAAAATCGTTTTTGTAACCTAGGTCTGAACTCGATTTATGAAGCAGTAATTTTCTAAATGTAGATGTGTCTACTGCGTATAGTGACTGATAAACAGTATAGCTGAATTTCGATAAACAATGACTAAAATTTAACTGTCCACATGACCTTATGACTTCTTATGAGTTATGCGATTAGTGTGTTTTATTTGTTGAACATGATAAACATGCTAATGGGTTGGCCGCAATTTATACATTAGTGTCGTGAGTAGTCTATTGGTATTCTATTTGTATGACATTTTATTTGGATTGTTTTTGTTCACTCTTCTTTACTATTATACACCATTAGCACATAAATCGTAGGCCACGCGAATTGTTCACAAAACTTGCATCATTTGTTTGTTTCATATTAGTATATTCATTTAACATACAATAATATTTGATTGTGATCATTGTGTTTCACGTTTTTAGCATTACAGAAATATTTTAGACTACGCAGTCGGTGAAATCTTTGGGTGTTATAATAATGACAATGATTACTTGTATTGTATATATTGTACACCTACTGATATTCTAGTAGAATAATTACTATAAAACACAATTTAATTGTATTGTAGTAGTCTCTATAGACTAAATTGTAATTATAATGTTCATGATTTTATAGCCAAAGACTTAAATAATAAGTCCTTTTCACCCAATGATTAACACTCAGACTCGATTATTTTGTTTGATCTCGATATATATATTATACTTATACATTTAATTTATTAATACATATTATGATAATATACTTGGATGTTGATGTTGAATAATTATATAATATCGTAATATATTGTAAATAGGTACATCATGTTAAAGTCAAAATATGTAAGACTTTTTCATTTTCTTTCAACAGGATTCAATGCTTTATAAATATACATTGAAAAATCTTTTCATTAATAGATAAATTAATGAAACGATTTACCTTTTATATTTGATTCAAAATATTCTTTTAATTTCCATATTTTTAATTTAACTAGTGAGTCATTGGTTAAATTAAATTTTATTAAGCGTGTTCCTACCGATGTTCATGAAATTATTCTTTAAAATTGTTATATTTGACTCTAGTACGTTTTAAACTAGAATATACGAGTTTTAAATGGCAAAATAGCTTTTAAAATTAATTAATGTGCGTTCCAAAAGTTAAAAATAATGTTTTAAGGTTCAATGTAATGTGCAATGAACATATCATTCCGATTATTATTTTGATCATGGTGTTTTTGATATTAATGAATATTATGAATTCAGATCAATACTGTGAATTATTAATATTGAAAGTATTCCATAAATTATAAAATAATGACTTGGATTATCTTGAACTAACTCTTAGTTTTAAAATAAATTTACCTAATACTAGAAATAAATCTTCATTTTACGTCACTAATATTTCAAAAAAATTTTCTTCTCATATTTTAATGTCTCCTGCTAAGTGCTATTATAATAAATAATTATGATTTTTTTTTCATTCATCACTCGTTTAGCTATTCTGAGTTTATGTGACTATGTGACTTCATTTTTTTATTTTTTATTATTTTTTTTTGATCTGTATTGATCACAGTATTTTTTTCCTTTAGGTGTATTCAATTATTAATGAGTAATAACTGTCCTTTTTCTCTAGTCAATTATATACTGGAACTTATTCTATATTTTATTGTGTCATGTAAATTGGTATTTCTTTTCACTAATAAAGGTTATTATTTATTTTTATTTTTTTATTGAACTTAAGCCCGGCGATTAAGGCCATTAGCTGTGGTAGGGATAAGGTTGGTACGATAGGTTGTTTTTACAATTGTTATGGCAGATAGCAAACACGTGTATGTGTGTAAGGTTTTTAACTACTATGAACCCGGGTGGTCACTGGTCACCCATCCGGGAGCTAGTAGCTGTGGCCGTTACTTACTTCCAGTCGCATTCCGTGACTAGTAGCAGCCAACGCGCCACGCCAAGCCACAATTATTATTATTACATATAATATTTTAAATATGTATGTCACAAATATTATTCCAACACGCTAATTAATAATTGATGGTACTCACTTTTAAATGCTTTCTATGATAATTAGAGTTTAAACGACTTTTGGTAATTAGGATTTAAGTACTTGTATACTACTTGTTAATAAAATGCAAATTTACAAATACTTAATATTGAAATGTATTTGTATAAATAAAAAACATTAATGTAATAGTTTATCTTCAAAAGTCATGACAAATAATAAAGACCCAATTGAAAATTAATGATATAATTATAGCCTTTAACAAGATAATAAATGCCTGAACTATATTTTTAAACATATTTTTAATCCATTATTTTTAATAGTAAGTTGGAATAATAAATAGATGAGTTTTTATATTAATATGTAAAACAGCACACTGAGGATTGGGATGTGTGCGTTGTGTTTCGTATAATAATATTGCAAGACTTGATGTCTTTTTTTTGTGGCCTTGGCACAGACGTCGCTCATTTCTTCAGTATCTATGGTTTTAAAAAATTATTTTATGTATTACTATTATTATATTATTTGAGTCTTATTTTGATTAAACCAATAAATAATGACCCTACAAATAAAAATAAAATTATTGTATATTATTTAAAACACTTAGACTGATTATGATAAAAAAAATATTGATGTGTAGTACAATTAAAAAATATAATTATCCTATTTGAGATGAACTATTTAAATCGTGAGTGGGGTGCGATCTTATCATTATGTGCGCATAGTCTGTGTAAAGGCTCGTGTTCAGTAAAGCATCCAGTCAATTCACAGTTACATAGATCGACGAGCTACAACTTTCAAAGTAAATATCAATCAAAGTGTTTTGGTAAGGTTAAACATTTATGTTATATATTATTATATTTATATATTTCCATAAAATATTTTATGGATTTTACACAATAAATATGTATATTTAGTTTTAATAAAATCAACCCACCATTGTTTTGATAGCTAAAAAATAATATTAAACATTGTTTGGATACTTTATATTTCGTTTTAAAGTTAAAAACAGTTAATCATATTTAAAATTAAATAAATAAATTGTATTAGGTAAGTTTATAGAACTCGATGAAATATTGATATTTATAATTATTTAGTACCTTCCTGCTATTTATGCTAGTTTAAACCTCTGTGAGTTACAATAATATATTTTAAAAGGTAAGTACAATTAGATGATTATATAATCTACGCCCAAGGAATAGGTGAACATAATATCCTATATGTAAACTGTATCCGTGTTTTATCGAGTGTAAAATGTTACTCGAGTAAAATGTTAAAAATGAATTGTTTTTTTTTCTAATTTAAATTTTTCTTATTTAAGTTCTCTAATTTATACTCCATTTTTTAGAGCCATTTAGTGTAAATAATTAATAGAATAAAATCAATAATGAAAGAAATTGTATTCAATTGTACAATATCAGGATAATATATAAAATAACCTAGTATTGATACACATTGATCGATATTGGTGTTTTACCGATGATATATTTATTAATTAAACTTTTTAATTTGTCACATTTTTTTTTAGGTTTGGAATTGTTATATATAAAGTGTTAATTACATTGTATATTATTAAATTGAATGTAGTTATGTTTCTATTTGAATTTATTTTAATATAAATTATCTGAATGTTTCTGTGATATTTTTGAAAAACTACACAATTGTAGAGCCTTTTATAAATATATATAAAAATTAATTTTGTTTTCATTAAGTTAAAAGTTGCGTATTTCATATAAAATATGGTAATAATAAACGTAGTGCACTTTACATTACCTATTTATTTTTAACATAAAATTATAGATTAAATCCTGATTACTTTTACATATGTTCTGTATATTTTCAATAATATGGAATGGGTTTTAATATTCAAGATTATTAACATTATTTAAACCAGACTCTATAATTTTATATTTCATCGATAAATTAATTGCATTTATATTATGGTTGGTGGTTCAATAACCTTTACTTATTTATTATCATATTACGAAAACCTTGTTTTTTCAATATTCATTATCTAGTTTTTATTTCTATTTACAGCCAAAATCTAACGGTGAACCCAATCTGACGACTTACAAGTTGTACTAGATTTTTTCAAAACCAAAATGAATCGCAACGTGAAACTTGTGATTTTCGCTTTTCTGTTGATTCTGTCCGTAAGCCAAGTATTGGGATTTGGATGCCCGCGAGGCCAATGTTGGATAGATAAAAAAAAACGTGACGATTTTTGTTTAGAAATATTTAGATACGAACACACAACTATGGATCCAGCAAATGTGCTGTGTTTCTGTTGTCGAAGGTAAATAAGAAAAAAAAATAATCCAAAGTATTACAATATTCATAAACTACAATGTTACTATAAAGGTTATAAAGCAGTTCATCAGTATATTAAAACGTTCGAGGGATATGAAAAATGATTAGTGCAATACACGTTGTATCAACTACAGAAACTTAAGACAAGCATTACAGTATAGTATCAAAATACTCAAAACAAAAATAATTTGATAAAACAAAAACTCATTAGCATTCAGATTACTATGAAACAATATCTGCTTAAATTATTTTTCAAATATATAATTGCTTGGTATTTTCTATGCTAGTAGTGTCATTTAAAACTCAGACCAAATTTGTGTTTGAGATTTTTTTTTATGATTCAAAATAGAAAACTCCATTTGAATATATTTTCGTCTTTAAACATTATATTTTCATTTATAATGTTTTTCATATAATTATTATATTATGTGGGTTTTCTTGAAGTATCAATTATATATTTAAATGTTTACCTCGAATGACTTTGCGATTTATATTAAATACATTTATTCCAATTATGTCCTATACGGTTGCATAGCGATTTAAAATTAAATCTATTAATAAAATATTTGATTATGACTTTAAATCATCATTATTATTTAAACGATATATCGCTTCACGTTACCATTAATTATCAATGATTATTGTATTAATCTATTTTTTTAAATACAACAAAAATGATTAATGCTAACATTTTCATGATACCCATTATATTCTATAATTATTAAATAATAAATAATATTATATAATTATGTTATTGTGACGTCTTTGTTACACTTTTAGTACGAACTATTGTTTTATGCATATTTTATGATACGTATGTTCTATAAAAATAGTATACAACAGAACAACGAGCTATGACTAATTGCTACAGTGTGCATAATGTGAAACGGGTGCTAACCAGTTAAAACAGACTTGTTGTATAAATTCTCTGTTGATTTTTACATTTTTTTTTATGAATTGTTTTTATAGGCTTGTAAGTTTTAACTTAACGTTTAGAACTCAATTATATGGAAAGATGTAATTATATGATAAAATAAATTACACCACAAAGAAGTACAATACAATTATTAAACTATAAAAAATGATGTTTGTTATGTGAATGAGTTGACCAAAAGCTAAAATAAAGTAACAAAATAACCAATAACATTTGAAGTCAAAGTAAGAAGAGTAATTAAAATAATTATAATTATATTCTATTAATCTATCTTCCAACTTTGTTCAAATTATATCCCATATTTAATTATTTTAGCGTGTAGCCAATTTAAAATCTCCTTTACTTTTTACTAATACGGTAACCCCACACTTAATTAGTATCGACGCATTTTCTTCGATCCGCTATACTATGATAATATAATAAAACACTTAGAATCAACATTTAATAACTCTTTACCACAATGAACTCAACAGTCGGATTTCGTTGTTCCAGTGACCCAAGATCGACAATCAAATCGAAGTAAATTAATTTATAAATCTACAATAAACAATTTGATTAATATTAGTCATTAGATGACATCAAATACTTAGTTTTAATGTGAACAATATACAAGGTTTTCTTATCAAAACTAATTAAATAAATTAAGTATAATAATTAAATCGTAAATAATAAATTTCATCAAACTCGATTTGGCTATCTATATAGGTAGTGTTAGTATTCACTTACATAGTGGTATTATAAATGTACTACCAACAGAGTTTCATATTCTGCTTATTGTATCTATTGACCAATAGATGGAGTAATTGCTAAAAATGAAGATAAATCCGAAGGTAAAGAATGGTTAGTATTTATTACACTCCAGTGTTTTAGTAAGATACCAGAAAAATGGACCCAGGTGTAGTTAAAAAGCCTAACCGAAACGCCGTGTTATCATAAAATATAACATTTTATATTAATTATGCTCTGCCGCTGTGTACTAAAACACATTATTTCTGTTTTCTGTTTTGTAATTAATAATTAATAGTCGCTGCACGCTACAAGCTACATTATTATGGTTTATAATAATTTTATTAAAGATAAATAAAGATTGCATAGGAACTAGGTCTGTTAACGTCGATAGGCATAATATACTAAACTGTGTTTGTTTATGAGATTGTTACTGTTTTTTTGGCCATTATTCTATTCTAAACGTCTTTAAACAACAAATAGTAGGTCACGCGTGCTAGAAGTTACTGTGAATTTACCTTCATGGTTGGTAGGTACATTGAAATGTGAAAAAATCTACGACAAAATAATATGCAATATGATTCATAAAATATACGAAAATAAAAACTAAGCGCAAACATTTTATCGATGCGATTCACTGAGCATTAATGTTACCACTTAAAACACTAATTGCCGCTAAGAATATCTAATGCTATTTTTTTTGAACTAAGTTAAACTTAAGTACATACAAACAGAACACAATACTATGTATTAATATTAACATTAATATTTCTGATGGATAATACTATCAAAATAGTTTAAATTACCGATGATATTAAAATTAAACATTTAGAAGTTATCATTTTTTCTGTAATTATCTAAGAAGTCATAAGATTATAATGACGACGTGTCTGAATGACTCTCTAATAAACACCAGTCTAACCATTAAATTCTTTAGCATGATATTTAATACTGAAAAAAAAGTCACAGTATATTATTTTTGTGTGTATATATCTAAACGTTTTTCAAATTAAACAGGTTATAAATGAAAACTTATATAATCAATTTATTATTACTGAATAATTGCGTCAATATAGTTGGACCACTTTAAGTAGAAGCTTTTGTTCTGCCAAAAATAATTGTCAAGCAGAAATAATGTATTTAATTGTTCTCCGTATTGGCTATTAAAGTCTCCATTCATTATCAACGGTAAAATATAAAAATCAGCTGAAGCTCCGTAATAATTGTATTTACAATGTAAACTATTGTAACTATAATCTTTTATTATAATATACAATTTTCATATTTAATAAGATATAATAATATATTTATTAATACATACCTAAAATATTATAAAAATCCAACAAAAAATTTTTAAATAAAATATAAATTAAAGTTTGATATTTTTCTACCATCTTACGAAAATCAGTATAAATCATATCAATTTACTAATTTCAAATATAATAGTATGAGTTCATGGAGCCAATTCAAGTGAAAATAGGTCCCCTAGTTTTATTTGATAGGCAATTTGTGTGCACTGTTCTGAATTTATTAATTTGTTTCAAAGTGTACGTTTGGTAGTGGAAAATGGAAATCTCAGTAAGTGTAAGAGAACGCTACACTGGCATTTTTTCCTTCATAAAAGTACATAATATTATACCAAATTTACACTCAGTAGTTTTAGTTTGTTTAACTTAAAAATTAAAGTGAATTGAACTATTATAAAACTTGATGTAAAGAACATTATCTGTATTTGTATGTGGGTTTTTTAATTTTTTACGAATATACTGTTTTTTTAAAGTGGGTTATGAGTATTTTCAATTCACGCTAATTAATAAGCAAAAAAATAATTATATTGTAATTATTATTTTTTTGAAAAAATACTGTTGTATTTCTTTACGTTTAACGCAATTTAAATTTATTAAAAAAAATTGTACTTCCTGCCTAGATCAGAGGATAAGATGGACCCAGAGTAATCATAGCTGACCGTTAGAGACTATCAGTATTGGGATTAGATATTTACTTTTTTATCTAGATAAAGATTAAGATAAAACGACAAAAATGTAACTAAAAAAAACCTAAAATTAAATACTTTTTTATATTGACAAAAACTGGTACTTTAAAAAAAAAATATATTAAAATCCAACATCTTGAGAGAACACCTTGTTACTGCCTGAATATGGTTATAGGCACAGATAATAGGTTTAAATTACAGTTTGTAATATACATAATTATTTGTGAAAAATATAAATCAATAATTCATTTTTAAAATTTAATTTTTAATACTTATAATGATATAATATTAAATAAAATAACACTTTGTATATTGTATGATGTTCAATATTATTAGTATAATTTATGCATAATATGAATTATTTATAATATAAAAATATTGTTATTTATACAAATGAACTCATTTATATAAATTTATCTAGTTAGAGGAATTTTTTTCTTCGATAAATTGCAACTATTTAGGTAAAATATAAAAAAAACTAAATATTTATGTAGATAAGTCTTAACATTGGGGACTACCTGCAATTGGACAGAAAGAAGTAGTTCTTTTTTTGGATGACCTTCATACATGAATATTTACTGAAGGTCAATAAGGTCAGCCAAATGCCAAACCATGTTCGAGAATTTGTATTTAAAGTTTCCAAACTAAAATGAATATCAACACACTAATTAAACAACTATGTAAGAGTTAAATAGCTGGCTCAGTGTTATGTACAGGCTGCAAATTGTTAGTTAACCTTGAACTACACCAATAGTTTTCTTTAAAATTGATAATAATTATTTTAAGATTTCAAATTTCAAATTACGTATCATATTGGTAAATACTTTCTAGTTTTGTGTGTGCCGATTCATGTTCGTGTTTGTATTTTTATTTTAGTTGAGCGTGTTTGTGCAGTGAGATACCGAAAATTTTGATATTGGTGTAGCTAAAATGCCTATCCAGAACGCCGTGTTCCCGTAATTTATTTTGCTTAACCTATTGGACATTGAAAGTGCAGCCTTGGTGAATGGTTATTTCAAAAAATCTAATACTTAAATATTATAGTAGTGTATTAAATTATAGCTTTAACGTGTATAGTTTCACGCAGTTATTTTCATTTTTAAGCAATCTATTTGTAATTGTTTACTATGCATTTAATAAGCATCAATTAAATAGTAGTATGGATAGTTGACGCTCAAGCAACTATAGTAAAATTATGAATACATTGTGTGTGGGAAAATGAATGCAATATTTAAATCAAGTTTTCTTAAGTACTGATATTATTTTATAAAATATAATCTTTTATAACACAATATAATATTTTATTTAATAGGTAACGGGACAACGGTCTTACATATATGATTAGACGGGCTGGTAAGTTTAATAAAGTGACTAGTGAAAACAAAACACGGAGGGGCTAGACATTGCATATGTTCGTGTTTTGGAATTTCTAAATATTATCCACATCATTTCTAGCATGTTCAAGAACAATGAATATGATTTGAGCTATTGCATTATGGATTAATAATGATACTTGAAAAAAAAAATATTTCTTTTTCGTTAAAGTCATATTTAAAAAATGGTATACTATAGGTAAGTTAATAAAAGTTAATTACTACTTATTAGTAGTAATAAAATTTAAAAAATAATATTAATAATTTATTGTGCTTAAGTTACAACTCATCACCTTTAATTAGTTAGTGAACACTGAACAGTGGTATAATATCGGTTAAGTAATATGTATAATGATCATTTTTGGCATTCTATAGAATACCTAGGAATTCTATATAATACCGAATTCAACAATTTGCCGTTAATACATACATAATACCTACATTATTTTAACTATTTTCCGGTTTATGAATGCAGTGTTGAATTCAGGGGACATAAATGTATAAATATGGATGGGATTACCCAACAGTGTTAATATATACCACTTTTATTTGTTGAAAAAATGTAACTGTTTTTATATATTTTCATAGTGCATTCATGTCAGACATTGCCATTGGCCATTTCCATTTTTTGGGTTACGGATAATATTAAACGCGTCTTGAATTCAACTCTGGCAGTGGGATAATGGGAAATTATCGGTCCGAAAAGGGATTCTTAATACATTATATTAAATCAAAGTTTTATTTTAAAAAAATTATTATTTTTTCTTAAGATTCCCTCGATAAATCGTTTCCCTTATAATAAATGTCCCATTCTCCTCTATGTGGACTATGCCTACATTTTATACTTGGGGAAACCACATTCATAAAACGCAGCACGTGCCATACCTCATGCAACATTAAGCAACATTAAGAAGTTTGATACTTTGATATAATATTGGTTTTCATTTAATGTGCTAAGGTGGTGAGGAAAACTTGAAATACCTAAATTATTGTAATTTGTACAATAATATTAACGTTACATAATGTACAAAATGTATACTAAATAAATGTATACTGTACACTGATTTTTATTAGTATATTCGTTAATATTGACAGATTACAAACTATGATTTATGTCATTTAAATGTAACATATATTATTTTTCCCCCTAAATCACCTTTTCACATGGTATACTTTAATAGCACCCCAAGTACCTACATACTCAATAGATCATGTACTTAAATATAGTGTTATCAGATGATAAAAGATGCAAACCGTCGAAAATATACTTCAAAAACATTCAAATGAGTATTAAATATAACTTTTTTTAATTTAAAAAAAATGTACCATCTTAAATCAAACATACAAGAAAGTTATGATTTCATTTTAACAAAAAAAAATAAATAGAAGTCTTAAAATGAAGATCACATTCATAACAATAAAAATTTTAAGTTTACTACATACTTACATTTAAATAAATAAAATTATGAATTTTAACATTTTCATTATGTACACAATTCAAATCCAACGGATTTATAATTTTTATTTTTTTATTTCAAAATTTAAATGATATAGAATAAATGCATTAGTTCAGAAATGCATTCATCATAAATCTAATAAAAATTTACCATTAATGACCAGTTTTCAGTAAAAAAAAAAACATAGAAAAATACAAATACAAATGATCAACACTTCACTGGAGGGGGAGGAGGGCACTTACAAAACACGCTAAAACCGAGTGGTAACTATAGTTTTAAATTCTATACAATAAATACTTAAGGTGGCGGTGGATGTGGTTATGATTCAGAAAACACGGTGGACATTTGGAAAAAGGTGTTCTCGTCGTAGAGCGAGCTCAACGACGTGGACATGTCTTTGAGCACCATGTTGTTGCTGCTGTCGAACTCTTGGGGCTCTGGTGCTGGCCGGAAGGTAGAGGATTCCTCCTCCATCGGACCCGTGGCCGCCGTCGTCCCGGTATCCTGTTTCCGGTCTAGATCCGTGTAGTACTGTTGTTGCTGTTGTTGCTGCTGTTGCTGATGGGTCTGCTGGCTCATCTGTTGATGGTGGTTTGGCCTCGAATAGCAGCCATTGAATTTTCCACCATTGTTTTGATGATAGCCACTGTTGTAGTAATTGCTGTTGTGCTGTTGGCCACACTGCTGTTGACCGCACTGATGGTTGTTGCAGCCACCATTGTAGTAGCTATGATTGTAAGACTGCATGCCATGTGAGGTGGCCGCTTGTCCCACAGCCGCGGCTTGTTGTCCTCCGTTGCCAGCGGCGGTCCTCTGGCACCTCTGGTACGCGTTCGGGGTGGCGCTGTTGTCGTCATAGTACCCGTTTTCGTTTCCTTGCCCGTGGAACTGTAGACCGTTATTGTTGCTGGTGTTGCTGTTATTGTTAATGTTGTTGTTATTGTTGTTGTTCAGCTGGTAGTGTTGATTGTTGTTGTTCTTCACTTGATGGTACTGCTGTCCGCTATTGTGCCGGAAGTTGGCATAATTGTGATTGTAGTTAACAAAGTCCTGGTTGGACGAATACGAGTACCGTCCACCGTTTTGTCTCTGTTGCATATTCGGCCCGAAATTAAAGTTGTTGTTGTTGTTGTTGTTGTTATTGGTGGTGGTGGTGGTGCCGAACAACATCGCAGGGTGGTTCGCCTGGTACGGTCTTTGGTTCTGGAATTGAGGGTTGTACGTCGAACCGGGTAATCCGTGTCCGTGACTCTGTTCCTGTCCCTGCCAGTTGACCGGTAAACTGTTGCTTCGCATGTTCCGGTAGCTGTTTGCCGGCGGTGCCTTGTTTATCCTATCATTCGGAATGGGTGACGGAACGACGGGGGCCACCGCATTCGTTAACGCTTGACCGTTTCCGGCACCATTGGTCGCGTCCTGGACAACAATAGGCGGAGTCAGCGTGGGAATGTGCTCCAGAGCGGATTCGGTGAGTTCGTCGATGGTCTTTTCCGCGTCGAACGCTCCGAGATCGTAATCTTCAATTTTTTCGCTTATCTGATAAATTTAAATAAACCATTTAATATAGCACTGTACCTAGGCAATATCATTTTGATTTTTAAAGAGTTTTATTGACTTACCATGTCCTTGATGACGTCGTCAAAATCGTCTGGTAAGACCATTTTACTCTCCAGCGATTCACCTTCACCGACCTCGTCGAGGTTGATGTTGGAGTTGGGATGATGTACGGTCCCAGCTTGCCGAGTTTGAGGTCTCGACATTTTGGCACTTTCTGGCAACTGCCTGCATTCTTCGTTATCGGTAAACGCCTGAAATCCGACATAAAGAAAAAATATTTTATAGACATCAATGAATAATTGACAGAGTCTGTTAAGTACAATGGCACATACATCGATATCAGGACCCAAGGCTGTGTTTGCTTGACTAGGGGAATAATCCACTGAAATCGGATCATATAGGGATGAGGCATTGCTTAACCTATGATGCTCGGAAGGGACCTAAAAAAATACAAAAGTTATACATCAAACATTTAAACAATGACACCCGAACTATTTTTCTTAGGTAAGTTAGTATGCGTACTTGACTGTTCCTGCGACTCAGGTCAGACTTCATGCTCCAGTAGTTACTAAATGTGCTTTCTCTCCGTATAGTGTCTTGATTAGACACCATTTTCATGTCAGTCAATTGCTTATTTAATTCTTGCATACCAGAAGTACTTCCATGTCCTGGACTCAAGTCGGGCATTGGCGACAACTCGTTGGCTGCGGCGTGCTTCAATCCAGCATGTGGCACAAACCGTCGCATCCTACGAACCATAGGCGCCGAAGTGACCATTCCAACTTCAGAGTGCATCGGAATAAAGTCGAATAACTATAAAAGTCAATAAAATGATTAACCATTTTCTTATAGCATGAAAAACTGAATTCGGCGCTACCGTTGCTATTGAATAAGATTTATAGTAAATACTCACGTCAGCATCATGTCCATCTTCGACCCAATTGTCGTCCAGAGCGTCTGCACTATGGTTGCTATCACTAATAGGCTCGTCGTGAAACATTCTATTACTGTACGGAACACTCATAGGACTGGGTTGCTGGCCAGGGGAATTTGTTTCCTACGGAAACGAAAAAGAGAACACAAATTATATAAATAAGTCAAACTAAAATTAAGCCAAATAGTCATTTTAAATTCGATTTATTTTAGGAATGCTATGGGTACGTACTTCAGATTTTATACTCGGACTAGACACGCTAACAGTTTTGGCACTCATCGGCATCTCATCGCTCCGATATGGTGACGCGTCATCGGCACCAGGTCCGTTGCCACTACCTCCCCCACCACCACCACTCCCTCCGCCGCGGCTGTTGTCACCATTTCCATTGCCCTTGTGTCGTTTATGGGCATAGAAATCAGCCCCATGAACCGTCTTGACGTGTTTACGCAAGGAACTAGGATCGGTGTAACGTTTTGTACATCCGGGAGCTTTACATATGTATGGTTTCTAAAAAAGACAGATTTGGACGTTAGTGCTATTTCAGCAAACGATGTTTAATAACCTATTCTCACCTATTCAATTTTCCCAACTGATTGCATACACACAAATTAAACATATTATATTACATACATTTTAAACATACAATTTCACCAAAACAAACTTTGAAATAGAAAAAGTATTATTTGTATATAGTATATTAAACAATATACATTACAATATACTATACTCAATAGTGATATTCCCCCCATTATAAGTAATACAATTTTAACTCATGTTATAAACATTGTATAGTTTGTTTATTTTAAATCAAAGTTACAATTACCTCGCTGGAATGAGTGCGGTTTTGATGTTTCGCTCTATCGGAAGCATTGCTAAAGGCCTTACTGCAACCAGGATGTTCACAAGTATAGGGCTTTTCGCCGGTATGAGATCTGAGATGAGTTTTTAGGTTTTCCAACCTCGAATAAGCTTTGGTGCAATTTTCGAACTGTAAAATTAAAATTAGCATAATTAATAATTCGGACATTGGTGTTAAACATAAAAAAATTATAAATGATCGAATCAGTATTTATCTTTGCTAATTGGTTATACATTTTTTGAATTAATTATTGAAGTATACCAATGTTTAGTTTTTTCATATTGTTATATGTATAAAACCCAAAGGCTACAATCATATTATACGATTTACTTATGCTAAAAAAACAAAACTTAGAGATAAATCAATTACCGTGCATTTGTGTGGTTTCTCTCCAGTATGCCTTCGCATATGTACCACAAGCATGTATTGGGCTTTGAATGGCTTCTCGGCTCTAGAACAATCTTGCCACTGGCATACAAATGACTTTTTGTTCGCCTGAATATGATCATTAACGATGTGCTGCAAAATACAAAAACATAATAATATTATAAAGTCATCGCATTATCATCATATAAAAGAAAAACGGTAAGCGTATTAGTATTCCGGTGTTGTTGTGTGGCTGGTGTTGAGTTATGCGGTGGAAATTAATTTGCTTCGAGCAATTATAGGTACATTTCAATGAATTTGTTGTCGGTGTACATATACAATATTAATAATTGTGGATTGAAAATAATATTGAAAGGTAATAAAGACAATAATAATTATAATATGTACCTGTACTAATACAGCCTGAGTCTGGTATTCTAAATTACAGTTCTTCCAGTGACAGTTTGTCTCAATGAAATCTGGTTCCCCTTTGAGGTCACTGATGGATTCTGGTGAGTTTTGTTTCGAGTCTTCGACGATCTTTTGAGAAGTCTTTTTCGAAGCCGATGTCGACTTCGATTTGGACCGTTCGTGTTTGATCTTGCACATGTCGTTGGCCAACATCTAATAACCATATGACACATTATATATAACACATACCATCCAACTTATAATAACGGACGACATGTTCGAAATAACGAGCTGTCGTGAATATGAACCGTGAATAGAAACTACTTGCCTGTGAACTGCAGTCCTGAGAGGGTACCGGTAACATGTGTATGTTGTACGAGGGATGGTGGGCGGAGGATGGCATGGCGGCGGCGTTATGCCATGGCAAGTGCAAACCACTGGCGGATCGCAACAACTGTTGGACTTGCGGCGATATGACGGACGGGTGGTGTTGCATGGTAAACGCCAGCGGGTTCAGGTGCCCATACGATCCAGACGTGCTCGAACTTCTAGAGCACGAGGCGCCGTACGCTGCGGCGGCCGAGTAAAGCGCGCTCGGCGATGACCTAATGCGGCCATGTAGCTCCAGGTCTGGGGACGGCGACACGGATAGTGCCCGTTTCTTGCCTTGACGCGAAAAGCTTTGTGCCAACGGGCTACACAGACCCGAACCTGTTGACCACGATTGACGAAGATTAACACAACAGTTATAAAATTATATACATACATTAGAGGACTACCCGTTAAA